TGATTGTCAGCAAAGCAAATTCATGAAGAAGCTTGGAGAAAGAACGAGGAAGAAGCTCTGGAAAAGGGGAGGAATGTTTCAAAGGGCGTTGGTCCATTGCTCCATCCCAGTTTGCTGTCTTCTTCCTCAAGCAAGTATAGATGAGCAGAGCAAAGCAGGTGACTTTGGCACTTTCTCTTCACCTCCTGGTTGCTGACTCATTCAGAAGACGGATTCTCTTCCATCCCCGTCAACCAATCAAATAATCAGCGCAGGGTCAGCAGCTTCTCCAGAGGATGAGGTTTATCGGCTGTATGCAGAAAGCATCTTCCAGACCACAAGATGTCACAAAAGGGTTAAAGTATCCAATCTTTGGGAGGGGGGGTGAGGGATGGGAAGAAAGTCTCCTCCCCCCCACCCCTTAGAAGGGGGAAAATGCAAACCAGTCCATAAAGCATTCACTCGAAAATGTCAGAGGGTGAAACAGCTTCCTGGAAATGCAACTCTGACATCTCCAACAAAGCAAGAACGTCACCCGTGGCTATTGGGCTGGTCCCCACCCTCTGAACTGATCACAGGAAGGCAGCTGTGTAGAGAATTCACCAGAATGAAGTCAAGTTTGAGTGATTTACCAGCAGGCTTCCTAGAATGTGAGCGGTGGGGGACCTGCCTTCCTGCTCTGCTCCTGAGTGATGGGGAAGGGGGGAGAAGGGGGGCTGTCAGCTCAGGGTCACATGATGTTCAGTAAGCTACTATGCAGAAATCAAATATCTGGCCCACACGCTCTATGACTTACTGAATCAAATAACTTAATGGTCTTTCATGAGATGCACAGCAATCCACGTTGCATCTCTTTGTTTTTCTTAAAGTATACTGCAGTTTTAAAAAAAAAAGCAAATGCCATCATCGCTCCAAAAAAAGTGTGAAAGTTTCTTTAAAATGCACACACACACACACAACCCCAAGGGGAAATTGAGATCTTAATGAAACCTGAAGTCTCACCAGTCAAATGTAAATGCTGGAGAAGGAACTGGCAAGAAGCTGATAGCCAAATCAATTCCAATCCCTGCAAATAAATCTCTTAATTTCAATGGCAGTTTGTCATAACAGCCAGGGTTATCCATGGTGGGGGCAGTGCCAGATTTAGCATTAAACTAAACAAGTTACAGCTTAGGGCCCCACAATTGGCCTCACAAAAATTCAGAATCTCAGTTTTCTGATTTTGCAAACGAGTTCACTGTTACTTATATTAATAGAAGTGATCCTGATGACTTATTCTGCTAGCATGTTGTATATGAATCTATATTAATGTACGTATCTCAAAATTATTTTGAAAATTACATGTAAGTATTGTTTCCAGGGTATACTATATTATAAGAGACAGATCAAGCCAACCAAATGATAAATATGTAATCAGTAAATGCATTCGTTTGAAAATAATTTGCATTTTCCACTTTAAATACCTTGCTATTAAATAATTAAAAGGCATATATATGTTTCCAGTTTTGGGGGGTGACCCAAGGTCCTGTTTTGGTACGCACCTTAGTGAGACCTTCTGGTGTAACTTTTTAGCAAGGGGCCTCTAACCTTTATATAGCTTAGGGCCTCATCAAGTCTAAATCTGGCATTGGGGGGGTCAAATAAGTCAAGATGGAGACCACAACCGTGCCATTGAAGCCTCACAATGTTTTTGGGGATTACACTGGCACATATATCCTGGGAAGTTACTGGCCCTCTTCCTTCTCCCACACAAGTGTTTGTGTGAACACTTTCTTCTTCCTGCTATCTCAGCAAAGCTAAATTTCCTGTGTGGTTAACTGGTTCTGTGAAGCCACCCTGTAATTCTATCTTATTTTTAGTTCTCCTTTCCACTCTCCAAATGTACCAAATCATTTTTATTTTTATTTAGAAGAAACATCTTCACTCTTGTACACCCTTTTCTGACATCCACATCTGGACCGTGGCAAACTGACATCTGTGGCCAAATGAAAAATATACGGTGCTCTCTGAAAATCCAGAGTAGGAAAACAAGCTACTGTACACACATATAACCACTGAAAGATTTCCTTGAGATTGTGCGAAGACTGAAAGATGCTGGGGGCAAAAGATGCCGTGCATCTAAAGACATCGTGCTTTTTTCTCTGCAGATGTACTCTGCGTATACAGTATATTGCAGTTCTATAGATTAATTAAATCTACAGACAAAAGCAATTTTGCCACCTTCTTCATTGATCCTTTTCTAGGATTAGAAAGAGCTCTAGAAGAAACCATAGGCTCTTCACACAGGGAAACTAGCAGCTGACCATTTGCCATATAATACATTGTCTAGGTCAGTGTTGTCCAAACTTGGCCACTTTAAGATGAGTGGACTTCAACTCCCAGAATTCCCCAGCCAGCATGG